CCTGCAGTGGTTTTCCTGGAAAACAGATATGAAGCCCTAGCTACAGATGAAAATGAGCATATTCTGTCAGCAGAAGACACCAGGCCAGTACTCCCCCAAGCTGGGAGGATCAGAACCACTGCCACAAAAAGGAAGCGATGAGTGGCAGTGGTTGGAGACTCCCTTCTGCAGGGGACAGAGACATCCATTTGTTGGCCTGACCTGTTGGCTCAGGAGGTCTGATACTTGCCAGGAGCCGAGATTTGGGATGTCATGGAGGAATTACTGGGACTTATCTGTCCCTCTGACTACTACCCTATGCTTATCATCCATGTGGGCACCAATGATACTGCCAGGGGGAACCCTGAGTAGAGCAACAATTGACTACAGGCCTCTGGGTGCAAGAATGAAGGGGACAGGGGCTTGGGTGGTGCTCTCCTTGATCCTTCTGGTCAAGAAGGCAGGAGTACATGTATCCTGTAGATCTATGTATGGATATGCAGAAGGTATCACCAGCAGCGCTTTGTTTTTTTTGACCATGGGATGCTGTTCCAAGAAAGATTGCTAGGTAGAGACATAATCCACCTGACAAAGAAAAGGAAGAGCATCTTTCCAGACAGGCTCACTAACCTGGTGAGGAGGGTTTTAAACTAGACTTACCAAGGGATGGAAACCAAATCCCTGAGGTAAGCTGAGGAGTGGGTGACTTTGGGGATACATAAGCAGAAGAGGGCAATAAGGGAAGCACTTTTTCATTCTTCCTGAGAAAGCAGAGTAATTGGCTAGTTACCTCAGATGTCTGTACATGAATACACAGAGCCTGGAAAATAATCAGGAAGAGTTGGAAATCTTCACACAGTCACAGAACTATTATCTCATTGGAATAACAGAGACTTGGTGGGATAGCATGACTGGAGCACTATCATGGATGGGTATAAACTGTTCAGAAAGGACAAGCAGAGAAGAGGAGGAGGAGTTTTGCTTTATGTAAAAGAGCTGTATGATTGCTCAGAGCTCCAGTATCAAACTGAAAGTCAGGGTTAGGGTTAGAAGGGAGAGCAACACAGGTGCTATTGTGGTGGGTGTCTGCTACAGACCACCAGAATAGGAGGATGAGGTAGATGAGGCCTCTTCAGACAGTGGAAGTTTCCAAATCACAGGCCCCAGTTCTCATGGGGGACTTCAGTCATCCTGACATCTGCTGGGAGAGCAATACACCAGTGCGCAGGCAATCCAGGAAGTTTTTGGAGAGTGTTGGGGACAACTTCCTGGAGCAAATGTTGGAGAAACCAACTAGAGGCTGTCCTTGCAAACAGGGAAGAACTGGTGGGGAACGCAGAAGTGGATCACAGTTCGGGCAGCAGCAACCACAAGATGACTGAGTTCATGGTCCTGAGGAAAGGAAGGAAGGAGAGCAGCAGAGTAAGGATCCTGGACTTTAGAAAAGCAGAATTTGAGTCACTCAGGGAACTGATAAGCAGGCCAGCCTGAGGGGGAAATGAGTCCAGGAGAACTGGCTGTGCTTTAAAGAAATCTTATAGAGGGAGCAGGAATTAACCACCCTGATGAACAGGAACACTAGCAAACATGGCAAAAGACCATCTTGGCTTAGCAGGAAACTCTTCAGTGAGCTAAAACACAAAAAGAAAGGTTACAAGAGGTTGAAACTTGGACAAACAACTACGGAGGAGTATAAGACTATTGCTCGGGCATGCAGGGGTGAAATCAGGAAGGTCAAAGCACTATTGAAGTTGCAGCTAGCAAGGGAAGTGAAAGGTAACAAAAAGGGTTTCTACAAGTACATCAGCAACAAGAGGAAGATCAAGGAAAGTGTGGGTCCCTTATTGACTGGAGAGGCAATCTAGTGACAGATAATGTGGAAAAGGCTGAAGTACGCAATGCTTTTTTATCTCTGTCTTCACAGGCCAGGTAAGCCACCAGACTAATGCACCTGGCAGCACAGTTCAAGGAGGAGGTAAGCAGCCAACAGTGGCAAAAGAACAGGTTAGAAACGGTTCAGAAAAGCTGGATGTGCCCAAGGCTATGGGACCAGGTGTGATGCACCTGTGGGTGATGAAGGAGCTGGCCAATATGGAAGTCATTGGAAGTTAATGGAGCCACTGGCCATTATTTTTTAAAACTCATGGTGGTTAAGAGAGGTGCTGGATGACTGGAAAAAGGTACATATAAGGCTCATGTTGAATAGAGGCAAGCAGGAGGATATGGGAAACTACAGATTGGTCAGCCTCACCTCAGTCCCTGGAAAAATCATGGAGCAGATACTCAAGGAATATATTTCAAAGCACTTGGAGAAGGTGAATAGGAGCAGTCAGCATGGATTCACCATGGACTAGTCATATCTGACCAACCTGAATGCCTTCTGTGACAAGATGACTGGCTCTGGGGATGCAAGGAGAGCAGTGGATGTGATATACCTTGACTTTAGGAAGGATTTTGATACGTCTCCCACAGCAATCTTGCAGGCAAGCTAAGGAACTATGGGTTGGATAAATGTAAGGTGGATAGAAGACTAGCTAGATTGTCAGGCTCAAAAATAGTATTCAATGGCCTGATTACTTGATTAATGGTAGCTGGTATCAAGTGGAATGCCCCAGGGGTTGGTCCTGGGGTTAGTTTTGTTCACTATCTTCATAAGTGACCTGGAAGATGGTATGGATTGCAACCCCAGTAAGTTTGCAGATGACACCAAACTGGGGAAAGCAGTAGATACACCGGATGGTACAGCTAGGATTCAGAGAGACCTTGACAAATTGGAGGGTTGGACCAAAAGAAATCTCATGAGGTTCAATAAGGACAAGTATGAAGTCCTATACTTAGGACAGAACAATCCCATGCACTGCTACAGGCTTGGAACTAACTGGCTAAGCAGCAGCTCTGTAGAAAAGGACCTGGACAATATGCTAAATATAAGCCTACAGCGTGCCCTTGTTGCAAAGAAAACTAACAGCATACTGGGCTGCATTAGTAGAAATGTAACCAGGAAATCGAGGAAAGTGACTATTTCCCTCTATTCAGTACTAGTGAAGCCACATCAGGAGTACTTTTTCCAGTGTTTGGCACCCTACTACAGAAAGGATGTGGACAAATTGGAGAGAGTCCGGTGAAGGGCAACAAAAATGGATGGGACCTGGGGCACATAACTTAGGAGGAGAGGCTGAGAGAACTGGGCTTATGTAGTCTGAACAAGAGAAGACTGAGGGGATTTAATAGCAGCCCTCAGGTACCTGAAAGGTGGTTCCAAAGAGGATGGAGCTAGACTGTTCTCAGCAGTGGCAGATGACAGAACAAGGAGCAATCGTCTCAAGCTGCAGCAAGGAAAAAATTAAGTAAAATATTAGGAAAATGTTTTTTACTAGGAGGGTAATATAGCACTGGAACAGGCTACTCAGAGAGGTTGTGGACTCTCCAACCACGACATTTTTTAAGACCCAGCTTGACAAAGTTTTGGCTAGAATGATCTAACTGGGGACGGTCCTGCTTTGAGCAGGGTGTTGGACTAGATGACCTCCTGAGGTCCCTTCCAACCCTCTAAGATTCAATATTCTAATAACTACAGACAGGTAAGTATTCCTCTACTGATTCACAAAAAATTACCCCTAAGCTGAGGACTGCTTCCTGTGCTGGAGAGCTTCTTTTGCAAGAGACATGGATTTTATTCTCTTGGTCTGATGGAGGAAGGTCTGAGACCCCAGCAGAGTCTTCTTCCCATTATGTCAAAGTGAGTGAATGAAGAGCCTATCTTTTATTCCCTCTCCAAGGCTGTTTGAAGGTACATAGGGGAAGAAAAAGGTCTGTGTGATTCCCTAGTTGAGTTTGGCTTAAAATAATGGCGTACAATAAATCAATTAATAACAGTCACATTCATTTTGTCTGTTGTCTTGTTTCTAAGTCTTTAGCCCTCACAAGCTTCAAGTTTTCGAGCTTTTCTCCACAACTGTAAAAGCTAGGAACTTATTAGTGCTTTGTGAATCCTCCAATATTTACTGTGTTCCATAAAGCCTCTGCTTCCTAAGTCAAGTTGTTTTTTGAGCCACCCCAGTTTTTATACAAAAAAAATGAGAGCTGGCAACTGCTTTCCCAGATGCTTGTAGAAAAGATTTAGATTAGGACTGTCTGATGTCTCAGCAACTGAGGGCTGCAGCAGAGGGGTCCAAACAGCATGGGAGCTATGTGCCCCCTCAGGTTGAACACAATACATGTATGGGTGGGAAATAGATATAGGATGGTGTGTTCCCCCATCCCACTGCACCATGTGCTGCCTTACTCTGCTGCACTGCATGATGCAGTGCCCCACCTCATCTACAGCTCCCTGCAGGCACAGCACTGCAAGAGCACATCAGGCTGCCGGCTCACCTGACATTGCAAACTGCTCCATGCCACCCCACGCTGCCCAACACAGATAAGTCAAGCAGCAGCAGAAGTGGGAGGGAGGGGGAGTCCCAAGACCCTGGCTGCTGCTGCAGCCAGAGGAAGAAGCAGTGGTGGCCACTAGGGGCCTTGTGTGGATCCCTTGCAGGCTGCACGTGGCTTGTGGGCCACGAGTTAAACAGCCCTGATCTAGATGCTGCTTCCATTCTCAAGGTTAAGGGATATATAAAAATCTTGGAACTGACACCCCCACTCCATCCTAATGCCTGAGAAGGGCATACAAGTGAAGACACTAGTTGTTCTTCTGGCCATGATCCATAGGGCCTTCTTCTAATCAATTAGTGATGGGTCAGGAACATCACAGCACTATAAAGAAATAAACAGTACTAGCTGCTTTGGAACCCAGGGGAGCAGTGACAGTAACTGAATAAGCTGAAGGTAAATAGGAGTGAATTAAAATGGAAGAAAGATGGGATAGATGGATGATTTTCAGGACAGTGTGTGAGACAGAGAACAAGAACAAATAAAGACAGAATAGTTAAGAGGGACAGATCCTCAGCTGCATAGCTTCATTGACTTCAACTGACAAAATAATTTATTTGATGTCCTTTAAAAAACACTTATGTTCTTACCTACAATTTCAGCCAGAAGCAGAGAAGCATCTGTGTGAATTGTTCCAAAGTAACATGCTGTAGTTGTGCCATTTTTTAGTGTTCTTCTCTATAAAAAGAATTCTAAATTTTAGTCACATCGCCAGAATGACAGAACATATGATCAGTAGATTTAATTTGTAATATGGTTCTGCTAGGTTTTGCAATAATTGTAATGACTGTAGATGAAAAGGAAAGCCAACATGCAAAAAATTTATAACAGGTTATTATTAATGGATTTAAAAGGAAAATTATTCAGATGAATGTTCTGTGAACAGAATGGGCAAAGGTCTGTGCTATATCAGGGAAAGCCTTTTCAAGATCCAAGGTTAACCCAATTAAAGTTATGTCAAATTTACACCAAAGATTTCTACCAACTGAAACAGGTGTTGCCTTATGTCTAACTTTAGTACAATTTAGAAGTATAAACCTCTGCACCTGTGAATGATTTCTTAGGTTGACAAAGCCTGGGATTTTCTGAGTAAAAAATGGTTTACATTATACTCTTTATAATACTTTTTAAAATCTAAAATTAGTCTTAACAAAATATTTAGGGTCTCTTAAAGGTAGGGAGCCTTAAAGTAACATATAGATCAGTTTTTCCTAGGGCTCATTAAAAAGGGAAGTAACTTTCCAAGCTAAGTAATAAATACCACATTGACAACACTATTCTGAACCACAAAGCCACAGTAGAAGCAAAAATCTTTTTTTTTCAGTCTAAGGTAATTAACTAGATAATGTTGTTAATTTAGTTTTCTTAGTCAAATGGTAATTGATAGCAGTCTATAAAGCTGGTATCCTGTGTCTTAAAGTGGCAAAACTCAGATATTTTAGAGGAAAGTACAAGAACCAGAGTGAGGTAAATAACTAATCTTTGAATTTGCAACTAAACCAAAAAAAGGTTCAAAAAAATTTAGAATAGAGCCAAAATAAAAGAATAAGTTTTCTTATTGCAGTTAAAGGCTTAAAAATTAATTTAATGTCAAAATAAATGTTCCTTTTCATGTTACTATTTTAGAAACAACTTTAATTAAGTTTGGCCTCCAAATTTTATTTCAGTAAAAAATGGAGATGTTTTATTTTAAAAAGTCAAAATAAAATATTTGGACTTTTCCATATTTTAATTGTTTTTTTCCTTAAAATGTTTTTCTTAATTTGACCCTAGTTCACAAATACTTTAGTGCCTGAAAGCTGTATTTTTGGCAAATAAGCTCTCATGTGAAAAAATTCACTTGAATTTGTAGATACGGTTTCATCTCACTCCTACTGCAGGTTTCACTTTGATATCTAGCAGTCAAGTGATAAATAAACCTTGCATTTGACCTGGTCCTGACCTGGCTCAAAACAGCTATGGCATAGCGGCACAGTGATTTATAGGCTTGTGCAAATAGGAAAGTATTAGATTTGGATTCAGATTTGGCCAATTCAGAGGGCAGTAATTCGATTAGGAGATTCAGATGAATCAGCTTGGAAGATTTGGCGCTGATTCAAAGAGATTCGGTGATTTGGATCGGCTGGGAAGAGGCAGGCACAGTAGGGCAGCTGCAGGTTCTCCCATGGCTCCTCTGGCTGTGCCTGCCTCCCCTGGGGCAGGGGGAGCCACGGGGGAAGTCCCCATGACTGCCCTGCCGGTCCCGGCACTTAAAAAAAAGCCCTGTACTCATCGGCTGCAGCAGCGGTGACCGAGGCCTCTGGGCACTCATGGTACAGTCCCCCTGTGCAGCGCAGGGCAGCAGGGGGCAGCGGGGATTGCCCCCCTGCCTGGTGCCCATGCGGCAGCTGCCCCATGGCACAGGTGCAGTGCAACTTAGCAGGGCACTGTGCACTGTCTGGGAGCTGGGGCCACTGGGGCTAAACGGTGCCAGGTTCCAGCTGACACATGAAGCTGCCCCAGCTCCCAGACAGCACA